TCTAAGTCCCAATCCAGGCTTAGATAGGCTCCCCCACAGAACTTTGCCAGCTCTCATGACACTGTCTCTCCTTATGGTAGGACCTCACCAACTCAAATACCACCAGGAGCCCACCAGGTAATATAAATGAGAGCAGCGGCCAACAGCAAATGTGTGTCTACGTGAGATAACTACTTCGCACTGTCAGTCAATCATTGCTGAGTAGGAATAAGGACTCTGGTTGCCAGATGGGAGGGAAAATAAAAAATCTAGATCTTATTATAATAGATTTCCAAGTTTAGTTACTGGAAATTAATCCGTTTTTAAGATTATAATATGGGTCAAACATAAATAATACTGCAGACTGGGTTTGGCCAATGGCATGCCAATTAAAACTGCCTATTAATTAGGGCCATACAATTCAGGACCACACCGATGCTCTATTTTAGTAGCACCTTTCCTATATGTGTGTTTTGTATATTACTCCAAGATAATCTCCATTTCCTTCTAAAACTTTCAAACTGTTCACCACAACCATAATGTGATTTGATGTTATGTGTCAACTTGGCTGGGCTATGATGCCAAGTTTTTGGTCAAACACCATTCTAGATGTTGCTGTAAAGATCTTGAATAATAACAAGAAGAACAGAATTTGGTAAAGCTGATTCTGTAATGTAAGGGATGGGACTCACCAATCAGTTAAAGGCTTTGACAGCAAAGACTGATGTTTCCTGAAAAGCTGTGATATATATATTATATATATATATATATATATATATATATCAATTCTATAATATATATATATATCAATTCTATAATATATATATATATATATCTAGATAGATAGATTTCCTATTGGTTCTGTTCCCTAATACAGTTAGTTACCTATATTACTCAATTAAGCATTAGCTGTTTAAATACACTTAGGATAAAAAAAACTAGAGAAGGTAAAAGGAGAAAGAACTTCCAAGGTTAATACCATAAAAATACTGGAAACAAAGTTTAAGAATAAAGAAGCTATTGAGAAAACCAACGGTTTTGGTATACTATTATGCAGTGCTATACTATGCCTTTGGGCCTGCAAATGAGGTCAAATGTATCAAAGACATCTTCTCAAAAAAAAAAAAGGTTCTATCTATCCTTCGACATACACTCGACATTCTTTCATTTGTCTTTGGATATAGGTGTGGAAAGAATGAACAGGTATTTTAAAAACATATAATGTCAACAATTTATACCCTGATTTATAGTCCCATCTTGGAGGAAAAAGGCCAAAAGAGGGTTCCTCATAAATGAGTTAATCTTTCCCCAAAAAATGCAAAGTAGACAAGGCAATGCCACATCTAACCTGATTATCATAAACACATAAAAATAGGGCTTAAAACTACATTGGTCATAAAGGGTTGTACTCTTTTGCTAATATTTATAACGCAGGCAGAATATCCATCGTAAAGGATGGTTCTTCTAATGTTTGCTTTTTAGGTCTGATTTCATGACTTGTCTGCTACATGAAGATAAGAACACTCCCAAATGGTGCTGGCATCCTAACAGGTGGCATTGGTACCCATGTTCAAATGGCAGTGGTGTTTCCGATAAGATCTCATGGCTGTGATAAGAATGTTGGCAAGGTCGAAATCCTCTAACCAACTCTACTAGCCACAAAACAGCCAGGGCCCATTTTTCAATCAGGTCACACAGTAGAGGCCCCCAAAAGTACCCTGACAGAGTTGGTCAGTTCCGAAGGCAAGCCGAGCAGCTAACACAACAGCTTTTCATAATGCAACTTAAAAATATTCCACCCTGATAGCACTCCCAGTGACAACAGGAAAGGTTGTAAACCAATTATAAGAGCAACGCAACATTGTCACTTCCAGAATGAGAGTGAAAATCCTCTGAACGGAACATCCATATTTATTAAGCAACTCAGGCTGAAAATCAAGGGAATAAAAGGCCACGTTAAAAAAAAAATGTTATCAATTTGATTTTCTGACAAGCCCACATCACCAAAAAAGACTTATTAATCTTCCTCAAGGCACCATGCATCTCCTGACGTAGGACATTACTGCAGCTGAACCAATGGAAATGGAAACCACAACATTATCAAACTAGAAGCTTGAACGTGGGGAGATCCTTCGGTCACAATGCCATGAGGAAACCGTCTACAATCCTTATTCTTCATCTGTAAATGTTATATCTGGCAAAAGCTGGTTCCGAAAAATATCTGGGGGACCTGAAATTTTCAATTCATGACCTGCTACTTTCTATAAATCAGGTTCTTTAAATCCTAGCTCAGGTATTTAAGAATAAAAACTTCACCCGGACTCAAGGTAGATAAAGGACTACTGAGTATATATACATTGATGTCTTCCAGGCCCAAGCTTCAAATGTGAACTAAGGAATTCAGATCACACAGCTGACAGAAGCTGTTAGAACACAAAAGATCATGTCATCAAATTTTAAGTCTTCAGGAACATCTGAATATTTAGATGTCAGGCCTAATCATGAGACAAGCAAACTCCTCCTCTTAAAGCCAACCTGCCCTCTGTGTTGTACACTTCGCTTTCGCTAGCCTTCCTTATATGGCCTAATGTCCCTAATTTGATCCCCCTTAGGCCCAGTCAGGCCTTTCAATGCTTGCTCCGCCAAAAAGCACACAGGCTTGCTGGGAAATAGCGGTGTGGGGGAGTCAGACAACTTGGATTCAAATCCCAGCTTCCAAACTTCCCAGCTATGGGAACTTGAGCCGCTAACTCCACTCCAAGTTGGGGTGTTTTCTTAATAAGATTTTTCCATCTCCCTTAGTGTTATAAGAATTAAATGAGAGTGTATTGAAAACACTTTGTCATAAACTAGCCCATAAAAGGGACTGAAATCATGGAAGGCCACCTGTTCCTTCTTACAGTATATTCAAAGCCAAGGTGACAACCACAATTTCAAACAGTAAATAGATCAAGCACAAAGCTGACCAAGTCTCCCAGATAAATATAATTCTTCTCCTCAACAAACACTTTCCAGAAATATTATAGTAGCTTGACTTTCAATGTCCAGGCATAGATTATTCCAATAGTAAGAACTTCAAGCCAAATAATAAAGGAGAAATTTGCTGATAGAAGCTAGTGAGGATGATATTGGAGAGATTCAAAGTCCTTTAAAATTACACCATAGCTGTACATATTCTCAGTTTGTGTTAATATCTAAAGCAGGTAACCTTTAGACAAGGAGGGCTTTCTACTACTGTAGTACTTTGGTGACTAGCAGACAAGAAGAAAAAAAATGTAGAACAAAAGGCTCATGTTCAATATCATCTACTGCACACAGTTCCTAAAAACTCTCATTTTAAAATTAAAAGACCCCAGAGATGGCTAAGACTAAAAATCATGTGTGCCTTACTATAAACTCTCTTAATCAGTATTCCTCCTTACTATCCCAAACAGAGCTGGATGATTAAAATTTTGACTCAGTATAAGGAGTTGATCATGGGAACATGGTTAAGCTTGGGTAGAATACTGATTTTGGTCTCAGAAGCCAAAAAAGAGAAAACTGGGTACC